CTGAAGGGGGGGGGGGCTCCCTTTGAGAATCAGCCAGTGCCGTGGGGGCTGCTGGCCAGGGGTCCTCAAGCCTGCCTGGCACCAAGCCCCCAGCCCTGGCAGCCCATCCGGGCTTGCACTGCAGGCACCTTCTCCCCTGACCCAGAAGCCAGGCCCAGCTGGAGGACGAGGGCCTCTGGACAAGGAAGGAACCGAGTCCAGGGCCTGCCCTCCCCAAGAACCAGGGCTCCCTCCTGCCCACTGTCCACCCCACGATGGGGCCCTGCCCGGATGGCTGCCGCAGCTGGGCCCAGGCAGGAAGTGGGCTGGGGTCCCAGGGCCACGGTGGCTGCCGGCCAGCTTCCCTCTGGGCCGAAAGGTCCGGCCACACAAGGCCCGGCCCCTCAGGCCCCTCAGGCCCCATCTGTGACTCATCACAATTATCGCTGTGGACGGGGGAGGGGACAGGCGCATGACCCACCCCCCAAGCCCCATCCGGCAAAGGACAGGCAGCCAAGCTCCCAGCCTCTCTCCTGTGGGGTTCGGGGAAACTGAGGCTTGGATCAGTGAGGCGCAGGGCCCCCTCCCTCAAGGCCCAGGACCGAGGGCAAACAGAGGACAAAGCTCTCGGGCAGAGCCCAGCGGGGGCCCTGGGGGCTGGAAGGCGGAGTGTGGGCATGATCACCCGCCGCTGCTCACCAGGCTCATGGCAGCAGATGTGGGGAGCGGGCCATTCTCGGGAGCCTCGCCCGGCGCCTCTGGTCCCAGCTCATGGGCCTCAGCCTTGCGGAAAGGCCGTTATCACCAGCTCCATTGTCCAGGTGGAAAGACTAAGGCACGACCCACCCACACAGCGGCCCAGCTGACACGGCCCTGGAGCCCTGGCCAGGGGCACAGGGGACTGCTGGGGAGGCAGGTGCCGGGGCTCAGCACAGCGCCCCCCCCACGCCCCTGGCAGCTCCGTGTGCCCTGAGGAGCCTTGGCCGACTGTGAGGGGCGAGGCCAGATGGCCAGGTATGCCTGCCTCCGGCCTGTGCCCACCTGCTCCCCACGCCCCCAGGGCGGTGCGGTCCAGCCTGAGCCTGCTGTGCGCCGAGCTTCGGGGCGACGAGGGGCCCACGAAGAAGCGGAGCCGCCTGGAGAAGGGCGTCTACCTGGGCCTGCAGCCCAGCTCCGGGGTGAGTCCCCGGCAGCACACCTGGGGCTGGGGGAGGGGCGGGATGTCAGTGGACGGGCAGCCAACCCCCAGCTGGGGCCCAGTGCAGAGCCGAGCCACCAATGCAGCCACTCAGGTCCCTCCAGGCAGAGGCGGCCCCTGGGCGTGCAGGTGACTCTGTCCATCTCACACACACACTCACACACACACACTCACA